GCAGGAGGCCTAGGCGAAGGAGCATTCACACACGCTCCCCGCCTGCGCTCCCCACTTGCCTGATCACAGCTGCCTTGTCCCCTCCGTGGTGGAGGCAGCGCGCGCGCTGGGGCGCCTCTTTTTGCCTCCTTAGGAAAGGAAAGGGAGGAACAGCTCCCCTTCCTTTTTTGCTAAACTCAGCGCACCCTCACTTTTTGAGGCACAGAGGTTAGCAAAAGGCGTGCCTTTTCAAAAGGTGAGGGCACGCTGGGTTTAACAAAAATCCTCCTCCTCAAAAGGCGAGGAAAAGCAGCAGTCACTTTGACAGCCGCTTTCCTTGCCTTTTGCCAAGGTACGGGGCTTACCAAAAAGGGAGCCCTTTGATCCCTGCTTTTTAAAATCTGGGGTTAGAAAAAGGGGGGAATCGTCTTATATTTTGGGTTGTCTTGTACACGGAAAAATATGGTATTTTACTGTCACTTTGAAATACCTGAAGGAAGCCTGTTCCAAAAGTGCCGCAGAACAAATATATGAAAGACAAAGTACTGTACAGTAGATCATGCTGCAAACCATTTTACAGTTTGTATTTTAGCAGATTTCAAGAAGACTCAGAACAAGATGGGTCATTAGTTTTCATAATAGAATTGCTATCAGTTTTCAATCAGTAGTAGCATTGGGCACTCTATAGGATGTGACTGTAAAATAAGGAAGTCTCACTAAAACAGAGCAGCATTTGATGAGCATCCTATAGCAATTTTTCAAGATGTGTCTCTGGAAACACATTGGGCAAAAACAAAAGACAAATAAAAATTAAAGAAGGCAAAGATGTTGTGGCATCTTAAAGACTAAGCTCACATTATAATATAGCAGTTAGTCTTTAATGTGGCACAATTAACATGGCTAAAGCTTCTAAAACTACTATTATGGAAAAACTTCACCACTGAAACCAGTAACAACCTTGTAGGAAGCAGAAATACAGTGAATCGGGGATTCCTCTGTACACTGCATGTTTCGAAGAAAGAACTAGAGAGATGAGTGAAGGAAGGGTATATCTCAAAACTCAAAATAAGGAACATATAGCAGAGTGGATGACACCAGAAAGATAGGATTGATAGAAAAGGAGAAAATAATAAAATCTGGATGGAATCAGGTTTGAAGAGAGAACAGCCAGACAACTAATACTCTGTCAGATGAGGCAGCCGGATATGCTTCAATCACACGTATGGGTGGTGGTAACAGTTTAAAAGGTTATATGTACATGGCCTTCTTTTAATGGTAGATTCAACATGATTCATTTTCTGTGATTCTACAAGAGTTTGATTTGTCTGGTTGCTTGACAAGCAAATAAATTTTGACGTCAGTTAACATACATCTGTCTCAAACAAATATACAGTATCAAGAACAAAGCTTTTCTTTTTAGATGGATCACTGTCTTGCCAAAAATATTTACGAGTATATTAAAGACTAACTATGAAGTTGTCATTGTCATATCATACAGACTTCACACCACCCATGTAAAAGTCACTGAATGAGTGGACACCAAGAGAGAGGAGAATCTTGCAGTTTGAAAGTATAGCATTGTTCAAGGTCAACATTTTTACAATTATGGTTGCATCATTTTAATTTAATTTAATTTAATTTACTGTATTTTTTCATGTATAAGATAATATTTTTCCTAAAATAGTTAAGAGTAAAAATTGAGGGTTGTTTTATACATGGAGGTAAGGGGGGGGGGGAAAGGGATCAAAGCACTGCAGGATCGCAGTCCTTTGATCGTGCAGCCCGTGGGGCTTAGGAAGTGGGTAAAGCAGGCGTGAAAGGGCTGCAGGATCAAAGGGCTGTGATCCTGCAACCCTTTCATCACTGCTTTCTCCCTCCACTTCCGCAGCCCTTTGATTCTACTTTTGCGGGGCTTAGGAAGTAGAGGGGGAAAGCAGTGATCACATTTTCTTATTTGGGGTTGGAAAAGCGGGAGTCGTCTTATACATCGGGGCTTTTTATACACGGAAAAATACAGTAATTTAATTTGTACATTTGTTTCAAACAATATCAGTATATATGCAAGAAAATAAAAATAGGGGGCATGACAGGATTTTCCCCCTAAACTTTATCTGGTATGGAAAAGGGCATCAAATACAAGCAAGGGCATACCCTTTTTTTAATTGAAAGCCAAGGTAGCTCAGTGGCGTAGGCCTGTGGCTGTGGAGCCAAAGGTTGGATGTTCAATTCTCCATTGTGCCTCCTTGACAGCAGCTGGATGCAAAGATCTATAGGTCCTTTCCAACTCTGCAGTTCCAAGATAATGATGATGATTAGATATACGTGAGCAACAACACACAAACTTCATTACTATTATATTGCCTCAGGATTGGGCACGGGTGATGAAGATGAGAAGGACCCCATTTATTCCAAGTGAGACTTAAACCAGACAACATATGGCCCTCTGTATCAAGTGGGAGCTGCTTTATAGGGCACCGAGCAGGCCTGTGGATCAATATGAACATTTATTTGTAGCTGTGTCCCTGAAAGATGGGGTGTGTACTATAATTAGCAGAATTTTTGGAGGTGGAGGAAATTGTCTTCTCCCCATTTAATTGGTGGAGGGAGAGATCATTTGAAATACACTATGCATGTATATGTGTCTCAGGAATCAGGCATTGTTAGAAGTGATGTTCAAAGCAGTGGTGTGTGTGTGTGTGTGTGTGTGTGTGTGTGTGTGTGTGTGCGTGCATGCATGCATGCATGTGCATGCGTGTGTGCCTGCCTGCGTGTGTTTAGGGAATTTTTACAAACAGATATTATGAACAATTACAAAATATTTTTTGAATTGTGATTTTTTATTTATATTGTTATCAAAAAAGAAATTAATAATTTGTTGAAATTGTAATGGTTGTGTGAATAGTAATAGAAAAAAATGAACATTTTGGAAACACAGCAGGGGACTGGGCTAATTTTAAAAAATATACAGTGGTGCCTTGCAAGACGAATGCCTCGCAGGACAAAAAACTCGCAAGATGAATGGTTTTGGTGATGGGATTGATGACTCACAAGATGAATGTTCCTATGGCCGTGCTTCGCAAGATGAATTTTTTCCTTTTTTTGTTCCTGCCTCATATTTGCTGATTTAAAAATGTTTTTCTATGATGGTCAAAAAGTTGACGTTTTTTGATTGAAATTTTTGAAATCACCTGCACAATATGTATGGCTTTAAAGAGCACTTAATAAACCCTTTGTAAACCAAATTTGACTTTGTTCTGACTTTTTTTGCCTACAGGAACGCGTTCATTAGATTTCAATGCATTCATATGAGTTTCACAAGATGAATTTTTCGCAAGACAACATTAACCGTGGAACAAATTAAATTTATCTTGCGAGGCACCACTGTATTCATAATACATATGTTAGTGCAGCAAATAAGGAATCAGAGAGGGAGATGGTATTCTGATAACTTTAAGGAATACTGATGGTCAGCAGTAATCACATATTTGGAAGTTAATCTGGAGGAAGTCATAGAAGTACAAAATTATATGTTTATGTTAATTGCCTTGGCATACACTGCTTCTTATTGGTTTTTATGAAGAGTGAATCAAAATAAAGTGAGCAGCCAAATCAATCCATTATTTCTAAAGCAGTGGTTCTTCACTTTGGGTCCCCAGATGTCCTTCAACTACAGCTTCCAGAAATCCTGACCAGCACAGCTAGTGGTGAAGACTTCTGGGTCCCAAGATTGGGAACTACAGTTCTAAAGTCTTGCTGGTTTGTGGGATAGGTTCCCCTTTAAAAATACTCCTGGTGATTTGCATTATTTTTTAATTTTCCTGCTACTTTTAGCTAGGCACAATGAACAAACCTAATCCTAAGGCCTCTTGAGGCAGTGAGAGGGCTTGAGATCCAGTAGATTCAAAATAATCCCCACTACATCCCTATTCCCCCTGCTGGCAACATAATGATGTTCGTTGGTACTGTATTCTGTTGAGCTTTCTTTGGGTGTCCAGAGGTGGCAGTAGGACAGCTACCCGACCAGATGGATTGTGTCTCTCTCAGAGCCTTGCTCTGCCAGAGAGAGGCTCTTTTGACCCATACTAAACTCAGCAATCTTCTGTGGGGACTTACATTTCACCCTCATTTACTCCTCACCTTAAAAGGCCAAATGCTAGAAATGACAAAGAATTCAAACTGCTCCTGGTCTTTATGGAGGTTGCATCTCAGTTCAGGATGCATGCTTCTGAAACCTTAACTGTTCTGAAATGGGGATGCTTAAAAGCTCTGCCTAATTGGCAGGAGCTAAACCTCGTGGAAATGATGTAGAATAAAGATGCGTACAAAGGAAACATCTGAAAACACTTAAGTAACATGCTACATACTTCAAAAGTAATTGGGATTGGAAGATAATTGCACAACACATTGCTGTATGGAAATCAGCTTGGCATATAAACTTTAAAATAAATGGAGCAAGTTGACTGTCACTAAATGTTTACAGACTTGAGACTGTATCCCCACGAGGGAACCAGACTTAATATGCTTGGCTTTGAAATGTGCTTGGTGTCTGTAGTGTTGGGTTACAGCACTGTTGTCAGCTGATCTTGTCCAGCACTTGCGAAGAGTTAGGAGAGTTTAAAGTGCACAGCAAATATGTTCAGATTGTAATATATATCTGTGCTTTCAAGTAGGGGTGTGGTCGGGGAGCAGTTTAGCAATCCTGTGCTCAGTTAGGATTGGGGGCATATAAAATGCAATTTAAAACAAATACTACCAAATGTTTATCCTCAGAGATTCGTTGCAGGGGATAGGGAACAGAATTCGTTGTAGTTAAATTTAGCGACATCTTTTTCTTTAGCTGGCATTGTTAGATAAACTACAGAAGAAGGGTTTGAGCATAATATGTAAAGTGATGTACAGTATGAACATCCTCTCAGGGTGTTGTTCTTAGATGATAGCCAGGTTATGCTAGGTGTTACATGTCCAGATATGCAAGGCTTTTGTCACTAATTAATGATGTCTTCTTTTTTTGTCTTTTCCAGGACTCCACAAATTTGACAACAGTTTTTCTTCGAACGGACCCAAATGGATTTTTCTTACATTGGACAGACCAAAATAAGGTAAACATATTAAAGTAGCTGAGTACCTTTGCGGGCATAATTGGGAACACTGGTGGTTTTATTTTTTTTAGGATTCAAAACTGGGTCTAGGAGACCTGAACATTTTTACAATGTGCGCATGTGCTTTCAGAATTCAACTCAATTTTGGTTGACTGCTAGTTTGATTAAAGCTCATCTTGGCTATTGTCAATTCGAATACTATACATAGAACATTGGCCATGCTGATTTGGGGATAATGGGGATTGTAGGCCATTGTTTATGGAAGACCAGGGTTAGGGAAGCTGGTGCTAGAACAAACTGGATTCCAAATAAAGATGGTGGTTAGGAAGTGAACAAGAGCTGGTGATACCAGAACTGCAGACGTTTACTTTGAAAATAGCATCCAGTGGCTGAAAACATATTGCACAATTTTACACCATGTAAGTCTGATTATGTCATCAGCCTTGGGGGCATATTTTGGGAATTAAGTTTCTAATCCCACCCTGAAGGATCCAAGGCTCTCGTGGGATTCCTTTCATATGTCCTGGCCCAGTCTCAGCAGCAGTGATTTTAGACCACCCCATCCTACAGCCCCCAAAGCCTTCCCCAGGACAAAAGGAATCCCAGGGGAGCCTCAGAACCATTGGCAGAGGGTTCTGAAACATTTACTTACCAAAAAAACTGCCTGGGCTGATGACATAATCAGCTTTATGCAGCGTACAGCTGCCCAAGAGAATTTCAGTCAGTGAGTAACGTTGTGCATTGGGGAAAAACAATGGAAAAGCTTTCAGGTAGGCATATTATCTGGTACTAGGGCATTTATTGCTATTTCCTTGTATGTGGAAAGCAGTACCTTGAAACACTACAAAGAGTATATGTTTACGATTCTTTCCATAGTGGCAAGAACTGAAATACAAATTGCCTATTTTTTTAAAGGAGAAAAAAAACCCAATGTCACTGGTAATGAGGTTGATCAGTTGTGAAAAATAACCCAATCTAAATCAAGGTCAAGGAAGAAGTTTTCTCTTCAGGTGATAATGATAGCTTTAGAAATATTTACTGAATTGTATCCTAAAAGGCTTTTTTTTTGCAGGGGGGGGCGGAAAGTAAAAATAGTTCATCAGCCTGAAAGCTTTGCTTAGAAACTGAATGTTTATTTACAATCAGTGCTGACAGCTATTGAAAGATGGGTTGCAAAAAAAAAAAGCCTTGTAGGGAGAACCTGTGCTAATGCTTGCACTTGCTTCTAATGTTCCTTATTGGAGGGCGTTGGTGAGAAGGCAGCTTGACATAAATATTCATTGGCGCTGATTCTTAGCTAGTGGTACCTGGAGGGGATGGGCCAACGCCAATGAAGAAACATGCCCTTGTTTTGCTCCCTCACCAGAAATAAAATGATTTCACAGCTGGGTAAACAAAACCTGTGCTTTATTTTTTTTAAAAAAAGAGGAATGAAATGTTACTGAGCGGTGGATTTAAATTTTAAGTTTTGTTTTGGTCTTTCCCTGAGGCTAAACTAAGTAAATATGACAAGAGGATGGCAAAATGTAGCTGACTAAAGATTAGGGTGCAAAGAGGGCACGTATGTGGTGATGAAGAAATGCTTGTTATGCTTTCTGAACTGACAGTGCTGGCATTTGGTTCACTGAGAGTGAGTGGCATGCTTTTGGTCTCCTGTTTTAAAATAAATAAATAAACAAGTAAAGGAAGCCCTTGTCTTCACACAGGTGGGCCTTCTCATGCTACTTAATTTTCTGATCCCCTTGTCTTCCCAGCCTTGCGTCTCTGGGTTGTAATTTTTCGTTCAGCAGAAAGGCTGAACCACACAAATGTGGGAGCTCTGTGGGAGATGCAGTTATAAATATTTGATAACAACAAACATCTGTGACTCTCTTTCCTAGTGATTTTGTGTTTTGTACTTGAAAGCAACTGTGGTGTGTGTGTGGAACAGAGATAGGTGACTTTTAAAGACTGTAATTCCCAGAATCTTCCAGCCACCATTGTTGCCCAAGACAATATTGGGAGTTATATTCTCAATGAGTTTTCTAAACTCTGAGTGGAGAGGCATATGCTTAATGCTTTTCCCTGCAAAGTGTTCCTTGATTAAATGCTTTTCAGAGTTCTTATTTTGAGGTATGTAATCTCCCCTTCCCTTGCGGTGCATCTACTAGTAGTTGCTGTGGCTGATTTGGACTGGGAAAAGGGCTAAGCCCTGCTCCATGAATGCCCTTGCTCAGAGTGAAAACAGAACCCCTGGCAACTACACTGAAGCAGCAGTAGAAGCATCGGAAGATCTGATCATGGACTGCCCCTTTCTCATATGGCTTTTCCTAAGCCTTAATGAATGAAGAGAGCATTTTTAATGAAGCAAGGCAAAAGAAGTGCTGTATTCAGATTACATATAATGCACCAAAATGGCCATTAGGAGGATGCTTAAGACTTGGATACTTATAGTTCCTTTAAACGTGGCATTAAGGAACTGTATTGCATCCTCTAAAAAACATACTTTTTTATTTCTGCTGATTAAGGTCAAGTAGAATTAGAATTCCAGTAATTCCTTTGCTAGCATAGTCACTGGCCATTCTGCATGGGCATCTGCGGTCTGGTCTAAAAAAAATAACATTCTAGGTTATATAATTCGGTCTCAGGATTTGCCAGAGTTCCGGATACTCTGATCCTTGGGTGGTGCCTGAGAGGATCCTGGTTATAAAGAGAACTCTTAATTTCCATGATGTTCCCCCAAATGCTTATAGATCATGCTTCATATAACTGTACATTGCATTTGTGGTCATGTAGTGCTGTGTAGGTGAGAGGAATTGTGGACAAGTTAATTTGAATAATTGTCACATTATGGGGTGTAGAGATGTAAAATTTCCAAAAATTCCCATGTTTCCCTCTATTTCCGCCCGGGGAAAAAAATGGAAATTTTACATCTCTCGAGAGAACTTAAATACACAAAGTCTCAGAAGTCTTTCATTAAGGGTCTTCATGTTATTATGCTTGAATATCATATCATAGACATATTATTTATCATTGTAAAAGAACATATTCCACACCATTTAAAAAAAAGGCTTTGACAAAATTGAAAGACCTTCCCCTGCCCATTTTTCCCAGTTTTTTCCCCAGGCCTTCCCATCTCTGGTGAGGTGGCAGCTGTATTAATCAACAGAAACACATTTTACTTGGCAAGGCAGCAAATGTGGTACAAATGATTCTTGTTGAGCTCATTTTATTTTGTGCGTTTCGTGAAAAAAAAAATTAAAGATAGTGTTGCTTTCTGGTAGGAAAATATACTTAGGAAGTGATTTGTATTCCATAGGGGAATTGGTTTTTTTCAAGTGGATTGATGTAGTCAGTAACCTGACTGACCTCAGGCTAAAAGTTCTATACAGTGTTTCATGTGGTTTTCCCCATTAGAATCCTGTTTTATGCATCCTGATGATTTAAGTGCTTGAAGCTATAACTTACATTTTTGTCTCATTTGAGGCCTAGGGTGATTGGAATGACTGGAATGTGTCAGAATAATGAGAGGAGAAGAATCAAGGAGAAATGGCACCATGCTAAAACAAAGTGTTTATGATAAGCATAGCAGTATCCTTGTTACACGGAAGTATATTTATTTGTCTTAAAGGTCACCAGAGTACTCTTGGATATGTTTTTGGGTTTGCATTTCGCTGGAAGAGATGAACATGGCTGTCTCCTTCTCTGAAAACTTCAGCCCTATCCTTTGTAACAAGTCTGGAAGTGACATTCTCCAGAATGTGTAGCCCCTGTTTTGAAACTAGCCTTAAAAGAAGGCAACCTAGCATGCACACCTGGCTATAGATTCAGGAAATTCTGGATTTCTTCTGTATCACTCCCAGCGTTGTAATGCCCAGCCTCAGGAAGGCTCATCCAAAGTTGAATGCTAGATTCTCTTAGTGTGAGATTTTAGTGATCTAATAAAGGTATCACTCACCCTTGTCTTCAGATAATCTCTTTGTGTTTTTCTTATTTTCCCTAATGGATCAACTGTTTTGGACCATCTAATGAATTTTGTGTTTCAAGGGAATACCTATACAGTGGACCCTCGACTTACAGACGGCTCGACTTACAGACTTTTCGAGTTACAGACTTCTCTGGCCGCAAAATTTAGATTCGACTTCAGCCGGAGAATCGACTTACAGACCAGAAAAAAACCAAAATGGAACAATAATAGAATAAAAACTGTCAGTTATGGGATTAATCGGTTTTCAGTGCATTGTAGGTCAATGGAGATTCGACCTACAGACTTTTTGACTTGCAGCCACCGTTCCAATACCGATTAATTCCGTAAGTAGAGGGTCCACTGTATCAGTTTCAACAAACAAAAAGACTCATGAGGCACCTTAAATTTGTTTTGGCAAAAACTTGCATGGACTGTGGTCCATTTCCTAGATGCATGGAGTGTGGTTAAAGTGAACTTTTACTCTAGGAAAAGTAATGCAATCATTGCCAGGTAAACCACAGTCATAGCAAAAGAAAATATATGATTTGCTTCTTTTCCCTAATCAGAGCCCCAGGTTTTCTAATGAAACATGTTAGCCTAATCTTAATCCTTTCCCCCCCAAAATGGCAAAAGAAATTTGTCAGGGTAGGAGGCAAAACAGCAAAACTCTTTGCTGGTTATCCTGGACATGCCTGGTGGGTTTTCCTTCTCTTGGCTCCTGGTTGCCACTTAACCTGGTGACTATGCCTTTACTCAAGATTTTTGGCTCATTTACTCATTTCCACAATCATCTGACTGAGAACCACAGTTTCTTGCCCTGCCTTTGTAACATCAAAATGATCTAAAGCTTGACCTCTGGTTTGGACCCTGAAATCTCAAGCAACGGGATGCTATTGACATGACAACTATATTTCTATCCCATCTCATGCATACATAGAACAAATGTTGGTTATGCTGTTTAGGTGATTCTGGGAATTCTCATCCAAAAAGGAACTTTTCTAAGGTCTAGAACAGAAACACATTTAGAGGTAAGGCAAAGTCATGAATGAAAACA